AGATAGCCCTCGTGTAGCTTTGCGCGAAATTCAAAAACAAGCAAATCGACCAATCAGTAAACTAAATCATAAGGATCCGGAAGTATATCTGCGCCATGTGATAGTCATAAAGTAGTCCTCCCTACACATGATGCAATAAATAGACGGCTTCCGTGGTCTGATCCTGTTGCGTAAATTAACAAACATCCGAGGCCTAATTTAGCATGTGCCATATTAGAACTTGGAAAACTTCAAGGTTAGGTTTTTCTCAACAAACTAGCAGAATATCATTCATACATTTTTTAATTAATAAAAGTTATGAATAAACTTTGACTTTTAAATGACTCGTACATTTTAGTTTCATAAATACTTATGCAAATATAGATAAGAAATGAATAATAAAATAGACGAAATTAAAGCAAACAGAAAATATAATATACCCGTTTCTTTGCTTTTGGTCCTCTCGCTCGCTCAGCGGTAAACCTGAGGGCATATTATGCCAGAAATTGGGTTTCGATACTTCCGATTAGCAGAATACAAATATTCCATTGTGTAGTTTTGTTTTGTGATTAACAATAAACGAACTAACGAATTCTTTGTTTGTCTGTCTGTTACTTTATGGAGACTCTATACTGCATGTCAACGTCTCGTATAGAAGAGTTTGTTTGTATTTGTTTGTAATTAAGCACAAAGCTACACAATGGGCTATCTGTGCTCTGCCCACCACGGGTATCGAAACCCGGATTCTAACGTTGTAAGTCCGCAGACATACCGCTGTGCCACTGGGGGACCGTATAGAAGAGATTCTTACGTTTGTAATACCTGAACATTCTAATGGATCTTTTACTGAAAATATATAGTAAAACTTTTTCGAAACAACCACATCTTTCAGAGCGTTTCAATGTCGACTTAGAACATGGTTTTTGGGTATTTTAAATGAATTTATTTTTTACCGTCGCTTTTGTATAAATCAAGTTTATAATTTTTCATTAGGGAAAGTTTTGTCTTTTATTTGCGGTTATGTTTATTTTTTAAGTTGTTATGAGGTGTCTCGTGATAACGTTATCTTTCATTGTGTTACAAGATATGACCATATACTTTGGACTTCACAACTTGCAAAGAGTGATCTCACAGCAGTCACCAGGTGGGGACCCGAAACTCTTGTCATTTCCGAGTGAACAGGTATGCCACTATTCATGTTTTATAGTAACATGAAAATAAATATATCGTTACTCCACTTGCAAAATAGAAGGATCAGAATCTACTTGAAATTAAGATTTTGAATTTCAAATATTATATTTATGCCAGTATTTTTATGTCACACTACGTATCTTTTACCTGATACTAACATTTACCATTTCGTTTCTACATAGTATTGATCTGTTTTCACACATTGCAATACGTATTTATTATTTAATATTTATTTTTCACGTGTGATTTCTGTATAATATTTATTTGTTTTCGCACATTGCAATACGTATTTATTATTTAATATTTATTTTTCACGTGATTTCTACATAGTATTTATCTGTCTTCGCACATCGCAATACGTATTTATTATTTAATATTTATTTTTCACATGTGATTTCTACATAGTATTTATGTCTTCACACATCGCAATACGTATTTATTATTTAATATTTACTTTTTACGTGTGATTTCTGCATATTATTTATCAGTCTTTTGAAACGAAGGTAAAATAAGTTTTAGTTAAGTTCATAAAATTACCCGCGAAAAGAAGCAACATAAAATGTGAATTATAAAGACACAGATAATTCTCAAAAACAAAATGATTTAACTTTTAAGTTTAGGTACGTAGAAGTTTCCAGTAACCTAATCTTGATAAGGTTTAACTTAGCGTAGTGCATCCTTTTACCTTTAGGGGGGAGGGGTTTGTTTTGTTTTGTTTGTAATTAAGCACAAAGCTACACAATGGGCTATCTGTGCTCTGCCCACCACGGGTATCGAAACCCGGTTTCTAGCGTTGTAAGTCCGCAGACATACCGCTGTGCCACTGGGGGGCAGGGGGAGGGGACAGATTTTGGAAGATGGAAGATTTGGAGGACTATAACATTTTACTTGTATGACTTCTTCCTGTAATGGGGCTTTCCTATTAGAATTTAGTCGAGAGTAAAAATTTTGAATTCATTAACGTTAACAGATAAGTCATAATAAGCATGGTACCGGATATGGCTCACCAGCCGCCATTTCTTGCTTAACTGATGAAAGAAACCCTTTTTATTAATGTTGTTCTTAACCTTCACCACTTCATCCTGTAGTTTTTTTTGTTTTTTTTTTTGTTCCCGAGGCCTTTAACGACTGTTGGGGCACCTTAGACGCTAATGCGTCATCGGTGATTCTAGGACAGATTTTACATTTTTTAAGAATGGAGACTATTTCACTTAATAAATGTTTTGGTTAGATATATAAGTTGTTCGGGTTTTTTTTCATTTAAAAAAAGCGACATTAATTTCTTGACGACCTAAGTAATACATTAAATACATTCACTCTCTAAAAGTAAATTCAGATTGATCCATTGAGGTGTCTTCTCGAACGTCCAACGAATCACAAAATTTGGGTGCAAAAATATCTGAGTGGACAATGTTACTTAATTCTAATAAGTTTTTCTTACATGGTGTATGAATACACCATGTTGTATGAATACCTATCACTTCTAATTTTGTACTTTACTTATATACATGTAAATAAATTCCAATTTCTCCCGATTACCATCAACAAACAAAATAAAGTACTGACAATTTTAGTATTCTGTTGTGGTAACATAAGTATATCTTTTCAATGAAATCCAACTTAGGACTAAATTTTGAAAGAAAAAAAAATGTTCACTTACAAAAAACAAACAAACTCAGCTAAGCCTCAGTCAGAATGTTGATTAGAACACGGGTGATGTATGGCAGCAAAGAAACTTGTACGCTTTTCCTTAGTCGATAACCCAACGGTTCTCTTTGTTGAAGATTGAAGAAATACTTTTGATATGGGAAATATAGGAAACAGTGCATCAGATTTTTCAAAGTTTTTGTAATATATTGAACTTTAGAATAATCAGTTACAGTATAGTAATTCCGGCAAATAATTTATAACTGATGTTATTTTTCTAACTTTTGTGTCTTCTTGATATAAGGATGTTAAACCAACCCTTGTTACGATTTCATCAGGTCTTTTTATGTGTTGGTAAATATTGCTTCAATCTTTCTAATTTAAAATCTGTACTATTCAGTGCAAGGAATATATCTTTATCAGCAAGAGTACCCAACCGATGACTCAACGCATTCTAATCTTTATAAGTAAGAACGTAAGAAATGTATATTTAATTAGCCATATCCATTAACAGGTTAATTTCTAGTTTCGCTTGCTCCAACTGGATGTTGATATTAATTATTACATAATTTTGTTAATAGTTTCCCATAATCTAGATTTGTATTCAATGTTTTTAACCCAAGAAACTGCTAATGAGGATATGGACTTAATCGGCTTTTTAAACAATCTTTCATAAACTATCTATGCACAAAATTGTTTATGGTTCCATGAATTTGTTGGTCAGATACTTTTTTGTGGGATATGAGTCATAGACGCAAAAACAAGTAAAATAGAATACCATCAATATTACAATTAACCCTGCTTATTACTTTTGGGTTATCCTATATATTGTGCATAGAAAATTAATGATTTCATTCATTGTTTTTAGTTACCCCTTTATAGTGAGTATGGCAACAGGCAGAAACATATAATTACTCAGTAGGGTACAATATACGGCCCTCACCGGTGGTTGGTAGTATTAAAACAAATAAGTTATTTAAAGGTTAAATTTAACCCTCAGTTTCGATACCCGTGGTGGGCAGAGCACAGATAGCCCATTGTGTAACCGTGTGCTTAATTACAAACAAACAAACGAGGTTAAATTTAATGCAATTTTAATTTTTCTAAGAGGTTTTGAATGGTGTTTCATACCCATACTTTTGAAAGCGGTTGATATATCCATATGTCTTATTTTCTTTGTTTTCACAGGTTTATATTTTACAGAAAGCATTTGAGAATAATTATGTTAGTTGTAAGTGGTATAAAAAAGAAGACAATTTGAGTAAAACCTTCACAATTTTTGGCTACTCGAGAATTCTGAAAACTTGACTACTGTTATTATGTTGTTTTGTTTTTACAATTAATTTTTGAGGTGTGTGAAAGTCAGATAATCGTGTTTAGTAGCTGAAACTGTAAGGAGTTTGTGACAGTGAATGAAATGTGATATAATGTTCTGTTATAAATTCAATGATAAGATCTTGTCTGTTTTTACGAGGATAAAGAATGTAGATTATGTTTTAATTTTAGTTTAATTATACGGATTTATTTTGAACATTCCAGCTAAAGGAAGACATTGATTACGTGGTGATAATGACAGCCACAAATCGTTTCGGTGGTGAATCTTATCTTCCATCCGTCCACCGGATTAGACGTACAAATAACCCATTAGCACTAACCATACACGGTCCGACAGTTGTTGATGCTCAGCGTGACGTCACGTTCACTGTTACTGTTGACATCTGTGGAGAGATGAACATGACGACATCAAGTCTTCAAGTAAGTCCTCTCTAACAATTTTTGTAACAACAACAATACACACACACGTCAGAATTTTCGTTTTTTGTGTAGTTCTAGCGAGCCGTCTAGTCTTTTATGATATACATCCCTCAACACAAGATTTTTAGCCGCGGCATAACGGCTCATAGAATGGTTCCGAAATATTTTGTCAAGTACAAACTTGCAGCTCCTGGCTCCATCTCTCGACTGATTGGAAATCTAATTACATCCGAGGCTATTGAGGATTCCCTCTTGTTTTTCAAGTGCAAACTTTTAGTTCATAGCTCCATTTCTTGATCGTCATGCTCATCGTGACGTCACGTTTACTGTTATTGTTGACATCTGTGGAGAGATAATCATGACGACATCATGTCTTCAAGTAAGTGATAATATAAATGCATAATCCTTATTGAAGTTTTTAAGCCTTCATTATTATAATTAAGAAACGTTGACTAAGATTCGTTTTTTCATTAATATGGTAAGTTTTTTAAATCACGAAGTTATAGTTGGACTAATTATAAATTCTAATTTTGAAGCCACTATAAAAATAATAATTGTTTAATAAAACCATTTTATTTTGCCACTTTTAACTCGTTCAGACAGTTATTTATTAGAAATACAAACTAATACAACGGCGTTGATATTTGTCAGGCAATCAGTTATCACCGTGTTTGTGTAGTGTTTTAATATAGAAACCGAGAAAGTAAACACTTTCAAAGATAAATATTTCTAAGATTACCTTATCATTAACCGAGAAAGTAAACACTTTCAAAGATAAATATTGTTAAAATTACCTTATCATTAACCGAGAAAGTAAACACTTTCAAAGATAAATATTTTTAGGATTACCTTATCATTAACCGAGAAAGTAAACACTTTCAAAGATAAATATTTCTAAGATTACCTTATCATTAACCGAGAAAGTAAACATTTTCAAAGATAAATATTTTTTAAGATTACCTTTATCACTAACGGAGAAAATACATAATTTCTCCAGATAACCTCGTCTACTATTACCTTATAATTTATAAAAATAATTGACCTCATCATTTGAAACTACAATTATACAATCATATTCTCGGACATGATCATGTGTGACGTCACTTCACCTGTTCCACCATGTTCTTCAAATAGGGTGGTAAGCAAGCCTTCAATGTTACATTATTGATATTGATATAAGTTATACATATAGGTAAAATTTAAACTAACTTAGTTGTGTTCGCTATTAATGCCACAAAACCTGGTATTACTCGTATGTTTACAATAAAATTGACTTGTGTCCACAGTGAAGTATCATATTTCTGTCTCCCCATGGCTTTGTAGTAAAGCCACCCACAAGGGGCGAGTAAAAGAGGAATTAGGAAAACAAATATTTTGGTCCATGAGTACAGGGTTCAGGTCTCGTACAGCAAACACATGGAACTATCTCGTGTCCTGTCAATCAGTATTTTGATTTTCCAAAGTGCAAGTGATTTGAATTTTCTGCAATGTATTGCTTATTACGTTCATTGTGTTTTCTTTGGTTTTATTCCGTTATAAAAATGGTTTATAGCCCACAAATAAGAGGTTAGTCTGACAGTTTTAGTTCATTTGTTGCAGTTAATCTAATGCTCTAGGTATTCATATTGTTTGCCAGAAAAGCTGAAATAACCTATTAGTGTTTATCAGGATGGGAATCATGGGGTATTCATTTTCTCTCTCTATATATATATAATTTGTCTATATGTTTTAGGTACTAAAGCACGCCATACTACTGATTTATGTGGTAGAAAGTTACATTTGTCTATATCTTTAGGTACTAAAGCACGCCACGCTACTTATTTATGTGGTACAAAGTTACATTTGTCTATATGTTTTAGGTACTAAAGCACGCCACGCTACTTATTTATGTGGTAGAAAGTTACATTTGTTTATATGTTTTAGGTACTAAAGCACGCCATGCTACTGATTTATGTGGTACAAAGTTACATTTGTCTATATTTTTTTCGCAGTAGAGCACTGTTGGTTGCTGCTGTTGATATTTCAATCTAAAGATATTTCTATAATTTCATGTATTTTGTAGAACAACATGATTAAACAATGTGTTATATGAGGAAAGATTTTCATAGATTAATGAATTAATTTGACAGTAAGATAAAGCTATGAAAACCTAAAGACCTAGATTACTTTCAAAACTTGATCTCCTAAGCCTTGTATTGTAAAGACAGAATTGTTATCCTAAAAACCTGATCAAAGGCTTGATCTCGTAAGCCTTGTTTCCAAAGAATGAACTGCTGAGGACACAGTTCCACAAATTGGTGACCGGAGGTATGGTACTGTTTAACCAAACCTATTCGGAAATGGTATTATTCCTGACAAGAATACAACATAATAAGCTTTATTTCAGTTAAAGGAGATTATCTCTAGGAGATTATCTGATAAATCTATTGAAATCCAGGGTAATTAACGTCTGTTAATATTATATATAGAAATTACCTGCACCTGTTTAGACTTTAGTAAATTTATACTTCGTGATGATTTCTTGTCGTACTGCACAAAGAGTGGCTCGTTCAATTAACTTCGAGTATATATATATATTTTAAGTAGTTATATCAGGCATAAGATGGTTTGTTTATTTACCATGAGACATGCATTTCAGCTAATGCAGGGTTTATATAAGTGCGCAGTTCATCACATGTTGTGTAATTGTAATAGGTTGGTGTACAGTTTTAAAGTACTTAAGGCGCAAATTAGAAATTATAATGAAAATTAAAATAAGTTTTTGTAGATCTTTCTACGTCATTAACAGAGAATTCATATTGCTTAGTTTATCCAATTCGAAGCTGTCTTAATACTTAGACTGTGACGTTTCTAGCACGTATTCTTTCAGATAACCAACCAATAAGCTTTTCGCTCTAAAGAAATTTCAAATGGGATTATGACGTCATTAACACTGAAGGTTTGGGAACAAAAATTCAAAATCTTTTCACCCTGCTCTCGCTTCTCTTGTTAACAACCTTACCTTCTGTAGTAAAGCAAATCATGAAACCTAATTAATTTTTTCTGTCATCAAACAAACAGTTCAAAATTATAAAACAAACATTTCATTATTAAGTAGAAAATGGCTGAATGGGGGTTGAGTGTGTTTCTTAAGTTAACGAAATTTTTCGTTTCATCACGAACTTATCAGTAGAGCAGTTTTAATTATCACGTCACTTGTGGAAATGGATTTTCATGTTCACTGTTCTTAAGTAATAAATTAGTTAATCAAAATGATTATGCATGAGAGTAGTCACTGGAACAACTTATATTAAAGTTGACTTTGAGTTCATAAGATTTTTATATGCAAGTGTGGTGACGTTTGTTTACTAATGTAAGGCTTAACTTTATTCTGGTATTTTACTTCTAGTTCTATTGGTCTATTTTTCCATCACTCATTGACTTAAGTGGATTTAATGGAATTACAGCCACTGTTCCTAAAGGGTATCTTCAACTTGGAAGTATTTACAATATTTCGGTCACTGGTAAGTACATTTAATGTAGTTTCTCGAATAAAACTATATTTGGTGAGGTCATAGAGAACTAGATAACCTATGTTTGGTTCTTTCAGTGTCTGTAAGCAGTGATGAGAGTAAGTGGAGTGATGCATCGCTTACCATTGGAGTTAAAAGGACGAGTCTACAGGCTGTAATCAGTTCTTCAAACCTGGTAGTCGGAGACCAGACACCGTTCACACTAGATGGCGCTCTATCTTTTGATCCAAGCAACGCTGCTGGTGATCTTCAGTTACAGTGGTCATGTAGTGACCTGGTGACCACTAATACGTCATGCTTTGGAACTAGTCTGTTGGTCAGTGACCAGATTCTCACTGTCCCAGCAGGATCACTTCTAACCAGCACGTAAGTTTGGATTTTAGTTTCCTCTTATCACAATAGAGAAGTTTTGTGTACGAACCAAACTCAAGCGAATATTTTAAAGTGAGTTTGTGTAATACTGCCACTTACATCCTAGCTTTGTGCTTAATTACAAACAAACAATCAAAACATCCTTATCATCCAAGACTACTTTTATACATCAGGCACTAATTGTGATACTTCATAATAATTTGCTTAATTTTAAATTCTCACTGTAGTATGCGGTTTTTAATAGATGAATTCTTACGTTACAAAAACATTATGTTCTGTAAACTGTTATTAATAATTTGTATTTTCTACACTTTTCCTGCTGGGTCACTGGGGGAGACAACTTGAAATGAATATAACTTGGAATTACTAGCGTAATGGAAGGATATTCCGTACAAAAATAACTTGGAATTACTAGCGTAATGGAAGGATATTCCGTACACACATGCTTTGGAATTGCTAGCGTAATGGAAGGATATTCCGTACAGACGTAACTTGGAATTATTAACGTAATGGAACGACATTTCGTGCACAAATAGCTTGGGATTACTACGTGATGGAACGAAATTCCATACAAATGTATTTTGGAATGTCCAGAGTAATGGAAAAACGTTCCGTACACACATAATTTGGAATGACTAGAGTAATGGAACGACGTTACGTACACAAATAATTTGAAATTTCTACGTAATGGAACGACTTTCCGTACACAAATAACTTGGAATTGCTACGTATTGGAACGACATTCCACAGATATATAATTTGGAATTACTAGAGTAATGGAATGACGTTCAGTATACGCATAACTTGGAATTACTATGTAGTGGATTTTATGCTCAAGGATAATTTCCACAACTTACTTTACAATTGTATTGTGAGTTATTGGTGTAAAATATTTTTTTTCTATTTTCTACCGCATCTAAAGCACCTTATGTTTATGGCCAATAACAGATGAGATCATACTTTTCGATGTAATACAATGCTATCGCTGCGTTTTGTGCGAGTATAGTTTTTCTATACGTTTTCATCCATATAGCATGAACAACAATAGACAGCTGCTGGAACTATAATAACCATAAAAATCAAGTCGCTTTCAGAAAGGTATAATTTATTGACATGGGCCGGGCGTGGCCTAGTGCTTAACGTTCCCGTTACGTGAATCCGACAATGGTTCGCGATCTCTTGCCGCAAAATTCCGCTTCGCATTCTCGGGTCGAAAATTTGGATGCGTTATAAAAGTGATGGTCAAATCCCATCGTTCGGTCAGACAAGAATAGCACATGAGTTGGCGGTGAAGGTTGTTGACTAGCTGCCTTGCCTTTCAATTAAAACTTAGCTTTTTTTTAGCTTTGCGCAAAAGTTCTAGACAAACGAACAATTTATTGAAATGGTTGGTTTCAAACACAACTGAACTACGAGTTTTGTGAAATGGCAACAGCTAATTAATCAGTATTCCATCTTTGTGGTCTAACTTCAGGTTTAGTATAATGCGCTAATAAAATAATGCTTTGTTCATTTAATACTATATGGCAGATTTTGTTAAACAAGACCGATGTCTGTAGGTTTACTTTCTTCTTAGAATTCTTCTCAAGAAGTCGATAAGCCGTCTTAACGTTGTTAGAACAACGGGTAAAAGTTGTAGCTAGTGATGAGTTGGCCGACGCGTTTCGAATGCATTCTGCATCCATTATCAAGGCTGAATGTTGTGTGAATTGTGATTACTGTTGGTGGATATTTATAGGTATAGGTAAGCAGGTGGTGGTATCTAGCTCATGGGAGGCGTTAATTGGTGGAGTGTTGTATTGTGGCTTGGGGGTTTCTCGCCAAGAAGCAGCAGTGTGCGTGCTGTTCATATCCATTGTTTGTTGATCCCCCAAGCCACAATACAACAC